CTGACAAATGCAAGGATCCAGGTTCAATCTCTGGTACTTCATGCTGTGCCAGCCCCGGAACAGCAGGCCGGCCCTGAAGCCAGGCATGATGGCACATGCCTGTAATCCCAGAGCTGGGGAGACGGAGACAGGAGGACCACTATGAGTCTGAGCTGCATAGCAAGACCTTGTACCAAATAAAACATTAAAAAAAGAGAAAGAAACAATACATGAAGACTTTAGAATTAGAAAAAGATCAAATAAAAAAATAGGCAACTGAAATGAACAGACATCTCAAAAAAATTCCAATGGCCAACGAATACATGAAAAAAAACCCAATACCTCTAGCCATTACAGAAATGCAAATTAAAACAGGTCATATTTTATTTTACTCCAGAAAACAATGAGTCTGATCAAGATAATCAAATAATAATGCTAGCACAGATACAGAGGAAAAGGAGCCCTTGTGTTGTGGGTGGGAATGTAAACTGGTAGCACCACTGTGAAAATCTGTGTGGAGACTCCTCCAAAAGTTAAAACTAGAGATTCCACTTGACCCAGTTGTTTTTCTTCCAGCCATCTTCCCAAGAGAATTAGTGACATCATTCTATAATGATACACACATACCAGTGTTTATAGCCGCACAGTGCACAATAGCTAAATCCGGAAGTGGCCTGTGGTATCACACACAGTGCAGTATTACTCTGATATAAACAAGGATAAACTGGAACTATGTGGAGGAAAATGGATGCACCCTGAGGCCATAATGTTAAATGAAATAAATCAGACACACTAATACTGCACGGTTTCTTTGATGAGAAACAAGTAAGAAATAAAAAACAAAACAAAAGATGATTATAGAAAATAATGAGTTAGATCTTTTGCATATGGGGAGAGGACCGAGAAATGGAGTAAGGCAGAAGGAGAAAGGAGAAGGGGATTAAAAAAGTTAACATGTGTTGTACACACACACAGCTCCCCAGGAGGAATGTGATCATCACATGTTACATTTCTTTCTTTTCTTTTTTGGCAGAACCGGGGATTGAACTCAGGCCCTTGCGTTTGCCAGGGAAGCACTTATTCCACTGAGCCATCTCCCCGGCCTGTGATCATTACGTGTTACGAACATGTACTAATAACCCCCAAAAAGTCTCTATGTTTTGGTGGTACTAAGGATTAAACCTCAGATCCTCACACTGAGCTACATCCCCAGCCCTTTTTAACTTGAGACAGGGTCTCATGAAGTCACTCAACTGCCCCAGCTGGGTCTGAATTTGTCACCTCCTGCCTCCACATTTTGGAGTGCTGAAAGCGTACACACCACCATACCTGGCTCCATGAAGTTTTTTGTTTTTTTGTTTTAAGATTTATTTATTTATTTATTTATTTAGTGTCTGTGTGTGGCCAGCTCAGCCCACCAGGCTGGCTGGCATGTGGTGCTGGGGGACTGAACCGCGGTCCCTGTGCTTTGCTTAGCTTAGCTTGTTCTAAGTAGGTGCTTTAGACCACTGAGCCATCTCACCAGCCCCTCCATGAAGTTTTAATGCACTCACTGTCCAACCATGTGGGGCAGAGCTCAAAGGCATTTGACAAGGCTCTTGACTGTTCTACGGTCCACTGTTTCCTGGGTCCTCCTTGCTTATTCACAATGCAACAGAAGGTGGTCCTGAAGCTAGGGGTGCCATGAGGACCAGTCCTTGTCCTCATAGAGGTGATGTTACAAAAAAGATTTGGAAACCAAAACTCACAAGAGTAGAAATGGAAAGCTCCACAGAAGGATTAACCAATAAAGCTGAAGAAACCAAAGAAAAAGATGCCAAGACAGGAAAGTAGAGGAAGAGCTGAGAAGTCCAACATGCCAGGAGGTCCACACAGACAGGCTAGGGGGCGGGGAGGAATGTGTCTGTGAGTAATGCAGTTCCCACCTCACCTGCCTGGGTTCCTAGAGAGAAGCCAGGTGCACGGTCAAGAGATGCAAACAGCTGCATGGCACCAAGCACCAGCAGGGGAGGCTTCAGGGGTCACAACTGTGTAAAGGCTTCTGGGAGTTTTTCTTGTGTCTAACCAAAGCATCAGAGGAGAAAGGAAGACATCAATGACTGGGCACATTACGGGGCTGGCAAGGACCAGCGCAGGAGGAGACTAGCAGGGCACCGGCTGAGGATGGGCGAGTGGCAGCAAAGGCCCAGAGATCGAGAAGAGCCAGAATGGCTCTGTAGCTGGGAGCCAGGTAGGGAAGGGAGGCACTGAGGGTGGGTGACTCTGGGCCTTCTGGCTTATGCAACCAAAAGCAGTGTGTCACTTGCTAAAAGGAGAAGACAAGAGAAGGGAATGTTTTCAGAAAGGAGGTAGGGAACCCAAAGTGTGGGGTCTTTTACTTAAAATTTGTGGAACAGCAAGTGCAAAGGGCAAGCCTGGAGCTCAGAGGTCTGGGCACAGGTAGAAGTCCCCAGCATCAAGAGGCCACCACCCCAGGAGAAGGTAGTGAGGAGTAGGAAGCTGAGGACCAAGTTCAGACAGATCAGCCCCAAGAGCCAGAGGCCAGGAGGAGAAGTCCATGTCAGCTATTTAAGTTTTCTGGAACATCACCTCTTCTATTATATTTGGTTTGGTTTTGTTCTTAATCTGGGGAGGCACAGTGGCCTCCCTCTACACTCACAGCTTCTTCTTTCATCCTCAACGGCCTTGCCAGAAGCGGGGCTGGGCTGATCTGTCCTCAGAGGACCAGCGTTGAAGGTTATCATTTCCATTTGCTTCACCTTTTTTCCATGTTTTCTTAATTCTTTCCCTCACTTTCAGCAGACTGTTTTTTCATCTTGTTTTTCTAGCTAATGACAGTAAGTCCTTCAAGTACCACATTAAGTCTCCCTTCTCCACATCTCTGCCAAGTCTGTCTCTAAATCTGCTCAAACTACATGTCACTTCCCAGCCTCTGGGTCTAAAACAACCCTTGAGCTATTCCTTACCATGAACTGAATAAAGTTTAAACCATCACAGCATCAAATATACATATATTTTTTTCTTCCCTCTTTCCAAAGTCTGCGACAATATTTCAAAAGGTTGTTGCAGGTGGGGACCTGGCTTGGTCATGCTGCACCTGCCCACCCGGTATGAGGCTGAGGTTCAATCCCCATGACTGCCAAACAACGAGCAGTCTGTCCCTCAGGCTTGGGGGTGAGGAGAGGGAATTAGGTTCTCTGAGATCCTGCCAGGAGCTGAGAACACTCACAGCATGGCGATGCCCCAGTGCTTCCCCGCCCTTTCTCCAGCTGCCTGGAAACCAGAAAGGCCGATGAGGGCCACAGTGGGTGTGATGGTCAGTGGCCCTATGTACCGCAGCAGAGCCCCAGGCAGGCCCAGGAACCCGATGACCACTTCTATTAATGAGGACATGATGATGGCGCCCTGGATCTGAAAGAGACGGAACAGGCATGAGAATGGCCTTCACAGATGTTGAACACTCCACCCATCACCTTCATCCCCAACTCACAACTCTGCAAGCCACGAGTTATCACACCACATGGCAGGCAGGACACCTGGCAAAGTCCCTGGGACCCCACCCAAGTTTCAGTGATGTGAAGCAGGCCAAGCAAACTTGAGTAGGACATCCCTGAAGGAAAAAATGACAGAAAGGGCACTGGACACAGCCTTTTCCACTGATGGGACAGAAAAGTTCCCAGTGGAAACACATTTCAAAACCAGCCTTTCAGGAACACCGTAGTAACTGGACTCTTGGCTTTGAAGAGTGAACTCCTGGAGCACATTTAAAAGATAAAATTTTGCTGGGTATGGTGGCACATGCCTGTAATCCTAGTGCTCAGGAGGCTGAGGCAAGAGAACTGCCACGAGTTCAAGGTCATCTTGAGCTACATAGTGAGTTCAAGGCCAGCCTTGTAGCAAGACCCTGTCCCTCCAAAAAGTAAAAGTTAAAAAAAAAAAAAAAAGAGGATAAAATTTCTAAAGGAATGTCTCTATTGTGTAGAATGCACAAATCTGTGTTAAATTGTAATGATCTCATGGGTTTGGGAAAATCTGAACACACTGTTAGCTGCTCTTTGAGTCTGCTGACTGCCAAGCACTGTTCTTATTCAAGTGCACTTTGGCAGACAAGCATCTGTGGTGCTGTCAACAAACACAGGCTGCTGTCGGGCCAGCAAGACCCATTCTGCTGTCTGTCAACAGTGTCGAGAGCTCCAGAGAGGGGGCCTCAGCTGGCTGCACAGGGCGTGAGCAGGCAGGCCTGTGGGTCTGCGGGAGGAAGGGAGCAGCGCTGGCTGCAGGCACAGAGCCATGCCACCATTGATTTAACAGTGGAATAAACACTTCATAGTTGGATGTGAAAAGAAAGCCTTGGGAAGAGCAACTGCAATTTCTTGGGTACAGCCAACATCAAAGCCGAGAAGAAACATGAAGAAGCTGCAGGGGGACAGCCATCGTCCTTTACCTCTCGAATCCGTGGATACCAGATGTGTTCTGTGTGTAATAGCTCTGCTGTTCCATTGCCAACTGAAACATCTTAAAAACAAAAACAGACAAAGGTTTTCTTGGAGTGATTCTGCTGTTTCACAGGGCATGCTCATTTTACCCTTTAAGAAGAATCTCCCCGTTACAAGTACACTGGTGTCATCACCTATCCATAAAATTGAACCTGCAGCAGTAGGGCTTGTCGTACTGCAAGGGGTTGGGGGGTGGTCCCCAGCACTAATTTAACCAAATGTCCTACTCCACTAGAGCTCCCTAGCATGTCACAAGCTGATGGAAGTGGTGCTGCCCATTACTAGTACCAGCTTCACACAGGAACCAACCTTTGCAAGCAGCTAACTGAAATGTCCGGCAGCAAGGTTGCTGGACTGAGGTAGTAAAACCTTAGATAAAACAGAGGGCTTTTTCCATTTCCTAAATCAAATTAATGGTCACAAAGTAACTCCTAGGAGCAAGGAAGGAAATGAAGGCTGGAAAACTTAGCTCCTAGAACCTCAAAATATAACTGCATTTTCAGAGTACACCAGGTCTGACTCTGATTTTCTCAAATTTCTTATCTTTTCCTGAGCTTATCAGGTTCCTTAAGGATCTCTGCAATCCCTAAGGAAGGGGAATGAAAGTCATTTGCAGAAAACCACAGTAGCCAGATCCTTAAAAGGCAAAGATGATCCACAGAAGGGATGCTGACGCAGCCGAGACCATGATTACGGGTGGGTCATAAAATCCACTGAAAGAGAGAGGCAGCAAATAGCACAAATGTTTTCCTATTCCTTTCCCATATTTGTCCCTTTCAATAGTATAGAGAAATGAGGTCATTTCTGGCCCTTACTTGTTCTAGGGTTAGGGATGAATGAGTGGATAGAAAGAGAGAGACAGAAACGGTCCATAGATTGGAGCATTCTGAGCTGTTTCTGGGTCAGTGTACTCTGCCTAACTCCAGAAGGAGGGAACACCACTCAGGGCATCGTGTCCAGGCCTCCCTTTTATCACCTGCATTCAAGGACCCCAATGACATATGTGGAAATAACTGCAATTACCTGTGGTGTTACATTTCCATTTATCTAAAGACAGGATGGCTCGAGCAGGGGCCAAAAATGCAAAAGCACTGGCCTGAAACAGGGGTAACCTAAAAGAAACGAGACCAAAACCATGATCACAGCATCAGGAACTACCGAGGTAGTTCACTATTTGCAGCTTAACAGTCTTTTCCATAGATACACGGCACATCGGTAAGGCAGACACACCTGAAGAAAGCCCCGCTCTGCACAGCTCTATGGGCGCTCCATCCTCCCCTCCTGCCACTCTGCCCCCAAGCAGCTCCAGGGGAACCCTGTGGTCAGCGCCAGCACCCCAACGCCAGCCCCTGCCATGGCCAGTCCCTGCCATTGCCACCTTTCCCCTTGGGGGTGGGGGCTGACCCTAAGAAACTAGTTTCCCCTCCCTCCCTTCAAATTCTCTTCAGTTGTCACCGGAAAAAAACTATCTCCTTTTGTTGTTGCATTTTATGAGTCAAAAACCACTCTAGTCATAAAAGTATTGAGATCATTAAAGTAATAAAATCACGTTAGTGACCTAGGTGTCAAGGAAAGCTGTTCATTACACAGTGACAGTAGATACCATAAATATGGTGCTTAATCATAAAAAAATACTTCAGTGTTCTAACATATTTCAAAGAACTGAGAAAGCATTCTCCATTAAACTTCCTATCCGTATCCTCCAGTTAAATGCAGACACCCTCAAATGCCATCATTCAGTTATACTTTAGATAATTTATAATGACTTTATGAATAATTTAGCTTCCCAAAGATTTTGCCATTTTTATGGAAAATGTACATCACTTCAGCTAAGCTGTACAAGAGTGGTTTTATTGGTCAGCATGACAACTTAATATTTTTTTCATAGTACTTGGGGGTAAAGTATAAAACTCGCTTCTGATGTCTGCAAGGAAAGGAAATGCAAGGCACCCAGTTCCTTAACTGCCCCGAGACTTTGCCAGTGACAGGAAGCCAGCCTTCACCCTCTGAGCAGCAAGTCCTGCTCCCAGCAACAGAACTGAAGTGGCCCTGGTTAAAACACAGAGTGGCTGTCCAGAGCCCAGTACAACCCACTCTGAGTCAGATGAGTCAAGGTTCCTTTGTCAAGATGCCCTCCTGGCCGATTCAGTCATGCAATGAAATCAACTGAACAGGTAGGGCAGGCTTTAGGGCAGAGGTGAGCCGCACAATACAAACCAGATGCACTGCTGGCAGCCATTCACAGGGGCGTGCCCTCACCAACCATCCAGCTACAATTACCTGCCTAAGGGGCCCCAGCAAAGAAAGGGCTGTAGAGTGGAAGTGAAGGTCACCTAAAGCGGAAAAATACTTCAAAGGAAAAACATCTCCTGCCTTACGTACGCAATGCCTTAGGCACAAATCTTCAGGGGCGAAGGGGGTCAGCATGCCATTAGAAATGGATGCAACCCATGTCTAATGGTCCAAAACATGTCCATTTTGAGTTTCAGACTGAAAGCAAGGTATCCTCGGTGAACATACTAAGAACAGCAAGCCGCATCAACATTGTCATCACACTGTACCAGTGTGCCCCTAGAAGGGGCAGAAATCAAGACTGGCTCTGGGTTTCATTCCTCAGTCAACCCCAGTCTGAAGCTGATCTCAGCACCTTTCAGGACAAGCATTTTATGGTTTATCCAGGACAAAAGGCCCTAAAGAGCACTGCTCACAGAACCTCCCATGCTGGCCAGGGTCCTGGGTTGCTGAGAGTAGATGGCACCAGCAGAGAAAGTCTCCTGGGGTATGCTGGGGAGGATCTGCCCAGGCTGGCAATGTGTGTGGGGCAGTGTAGCTTTGTAACTAACTGGCAGCACAAATTGATGGCCTGAATGAAATGACCTCAGGGAAACTATGGTAGGATCACCCAACACATTTAGTGGCACTTTGCTTGATCATAGGTGGCAGGCCTGATGAGCAGCACCCTAAAAGCTGGTCACAGGACGCACTCCGGCATGGGTACTGAGGTGCTCTCACACTGCCTGGCCTGACACACTTGCCCCTGGGGTCCCAAAAAGAGCAGGTGGGCCTGTGTCAGCACTGCTACATGCCTAGAACCGACAAACATACTATGAAGGCACTGCTCCCAAATGTTCTTTAAACTGAATTCTGTTAGACTACAAATAAGGGGACAAGGCTTCCCAATGTGTTGATTTTTAACTGCAAATATGGGAGAGGACATCGTTTAAATTAAAAGCACTTAGTACTGAGATCAGAAGACATGTACATGACTTTCACAATAAATCCATATACAAAGCTGCCTCTGGTGCCATCAGAAAAGGGTCATAAAAACCAGAGGAGGTCATGAGTCCCCCACAAAGCACCATGAAGGTGCAACATGTATCTGTCGAGAAATAAAACTGTTTAATGGAAAACGAGAACAAAACTCAGCACAGCGCTCCGCGTCTGGTGTCCTCGATCTACCATGAGCAACCAGAGTTGGTACCCAGTCTTGCACAGCCCAACGAACTCCAGCTTGAATCTGGACCACAGGGCAAATTTAAATAATAAGCTCTAAGAAATCTAAGTACACTTACTTTTTTTTTTTTTTTCACACTTGCTTTTGAGGAGATATAGTTTTACCACTCCATCAACTACCGGGCATGTGTGTCCTAGTGCTTTTAAACAAAAGCAACATGCAATGTGTCAAAGAAACTTTTTTCTTAATTGGTAACAATATTTATAGTTTATCTAGCCATGCCTCTACCATCTTTCAGCTGAACAGCCACAAAGTAGCCTGCACACCTAGTACATGTCACATGTCAGCAGAAATCTTTTAACATTAAGAACACTTTAGCTGGGCATGGTGGCCTACAACTGTAATCCCAGCCCTCAGGAGGCTGAGGCAGGAGAGCTGCTATGCATTCAAGGCTGCCTTGGACTACACAGTGAGACCTTGTCTCAAAAAAAAAAAAAAAATAAGTATTTCTACACCAATAGCTTCCCCTTATTATACCCAAGAAAAGAACATTAATAATATAATCCAATATCAAAGTATACTGAAGTTTCTGTTACCCGATGCAATCCAATAGTCTATACAATATACTGTGCTTAGGTCACAGGTCCTATGAACTATGTCACATCGGGTACCTTGCATGTCCCACTAGGTGGGATGCTTGCTCTGGGTGGTGACTTCTGCATCTTTTCATTTGAAAAGTACTCACTATATGTGTAATTAATAATTTGTAGGTTGATTCTTAGGTTGTGTGGATAGCATATTATCATTTGCTTTATATTCTAACATGGGGATTTAAACACTTTGACTTTCTGAAAGATAAAAACAATATGATTTTCCAGTTTTATCATTCCATCTATTTAGTAAACATCTTTTTGCAAGAATGTTACTTTTTATCCAGGTCAATTCCTCCTTTCTAGTCTCTAAACATCACTGTAGGCTCACGAATTCTCTTTTCACTCCAGATTTTCTATCATGACCTTGTCTAAAGCAGCCTGTTCGATCCAGTTCCTATTCCTTTTGACAGAGCCTGCCCTTCTTTTCCCTCCCTTCCCCATTCTTTGTTTAAGTCCCTAGCTTTCTGGCCTGACATGGTCCGGGTTTAGCGTGTCCTTTCCTCAGTCCACACTCCGGGGTCAACTACTCTGTCAAGGACAGCGGTTAGGAGCCGAGACCTGGGCTCTAGGTGGATTTTCTGTCACTGCAGTGTTACTGTTTCTAACAATGCCTTCTTTTTAAAATCAGGGATTATAATGATACCTATGATTCAACCTAATTCCATATGACCCTTCTTCCTTTCTCTATTTTATCTTTCTTTCCTTTGGGTAATCTCCTTTTTGAACATGATAGTATCAACTATTCCAGGTCAAAGGTTTGCTAGCATCTAAGACTTCTACTACTCTAAGATCCAGCCAGGTACCCAAGGGCACGAGAGTCGGGGCGTGACAATGTACTGTGCTGATCACAGCTGGTGTGCACGGGATGCCCATGTAGGCCCATGTCAGAAAGGATAGCTACTGTAAAGAGCACTTCACAGAATCTTGCCAGCTCGGTATCTGCAAGGGGTGTGGAGGGAGAACACAATGTACTCCTTAATATGTCAGTTATGCGTAATAGTTCCAGCATTTAAGAAAGAGAAAAAGTGAAAGAGCTCCCCTCTCCTGTACTGGGGATTATGCTGCCCTCCACTCCTGGTCTGTGCTGCTTCAGCTAGCCACCTGGCTATAGAGAAGGGTAAAGGGGCACAAACGGGGCCACCAGGAAGATGAGCCACGAGAGCACAGAGAAGTGCCAGACGGGGGAGGTGAAAGTCAAACACTACCTATATCACTCAAGAGGACCCAGTCGCTTTCTAGTACCTGCTTGTCAGGACTGGGCACCAACAAAAACGCAGTACCATAAAGGGAGACTGCCGTCCCATAGGGCAAGTGTGAGGAGCAACCTCAGAGGGCCCTGGACACAGCCTTAGAGGACAAGAGGCTGGTGCAGGAGTCCCTCAGGTCTCAGCAGGAGCTGCATCAAATGCCACTATCCACTTTTGATGGGCTCTGTGACAGGTTCAGGGGTCAGACAGGCCCAGCCTGTCAGGGTGCTGGCTGTGTGGCCACAGCCCATGCCCATTCCCTGCCACATGTGTTAGGGCCACACTGCTCCACCAGGTTGCACCCCCTCTGCCTCATCTGCCCCCTTCCCTTCTGAAGGGCTCATGTGTCAAATAAGGGCCAATAGTCTGCAGGGTGCACTGACACTCGATACACCTTCATCATTTTATACTAGTGGGAAGAAGGCTTTGGGAGACCAGGCAGCCTGGCCAGAGTCCCAGAGCAGGAAAGGCAGAGACCTGAGCCCCAACCCCCAGTGTGGCTGCCTAGGGCAGTGAACTTTTCCAAGGTCGTTCTCCTCAGGCACTCCCTGGCCTCTCATTGTAATGTAGTTCTTCAACATTCTCTTAGTGAAGTGAAGTAGCTGGTAAATTTGACGGGGGGGGGGGGGCGCCGGCCGGCGCCAAACCAGACAACCTGCTATTATGTGCCTACTTGTTATCACCTCCTCAGGGACTTCGGCAAAAATGTTCACCCTGAATCATCGATAGCCCTGGCTTCTTTTCCAGGTTCCAACAAATAAGGGAAATTATGAAACAGTTCAAACACCATGAGAAATTGCTCAGACAATTCCAAAGCATGGGATACCCTGATGACCAGACTATCCCTGTGACTGATAAGAGAGAAAAAGAGACACTGGGAACAAAGGCTCCACATGAGCTCAGCTGGGTGCTGACTTGGGGAGTCCAAGGCGACAGCTACCAAAGTACTTTAGGGACTAGTGGGGAAGTAAGTGCGGACTGCCGGGAGATGCTACGATGGAAGCACTTCGTTTTCCCAGGGCCATCAGTGGGATCCTGATTACCAGGTGGCTCTCATTCCTAGGGGAGAGTGGAGTGTGTATGGGTGAGCCATCGTGCTCAAAACAGTAACAGTAGCATAAGCACCCTGTAGACGTGTATGCAAGAAGAATCTACTCATTGCATCCTTTCACTCTGTCAAGTTCCATCAACAGCCATGAGCTCAAAGCCCCCAGATTCAGGGCCTTGCCTGCACATCTCCCAGGTCCCACGTACCTTTTAAGATTGAAGAAGCAGACCCTATCTCTCTTGAGCAGGACTGTTTCAGGCTGACTGAGCTTGGGTGGGGTCTCTGAACAACTCTGCCCTGACTGCAACAGACTGTAAGGCTTCGCACTAATTCCCAGAATGAGCTGAAGGGCCACTGGAAGGGACAGGGATAGCACATACCAACTAGAATGAGGACAACCCTGCCAAGTTCCCTCAAGCAAACTCAGCAGTGAAGATGCTGAAAGCAAAGCACCAGGAACCAAGGTCAAAGGAGAAGGAAGAGGCAGAGTGGGGAGGCAGAAGGAGAGAAGGAAAAACAGTCACCCTGAAAAGGCCCATATCCCAGCAGATGGAGGCTCTGGGCAGGGACCGATATACACAAGTCATACAAGTGGTGCTGAGATTCCAGAGCTTGCTTATAGTATGACAGCAGTCCCCAGAGCACAGGAGCCCACGTGGGTGGTAGCAGTGAGGGAGCGGTGCATGTGCCCAATTGTACTCTGGCACCTAAAGGTTGGTGCCCTGTGCTTGGGGCAAAGTCTGCAAAGCCATCATGTTATCACTACAATTTTTCCATCAATTCTGGCTACTTTTATGGCACAACCATTTCCAGGCCAGCCCAGAGCCTGTCTTGACAGGACAGCCCCACCCAGCACACAACCTCATGGCTTCAGAGTTCTCAGGCCCCCTCAGAAGCAGGGGCCCGAGCCGGTCCTGAGGGCCCATGACCCCAGAACACCTAGTACAACTGGCATGAGTGACAGCAAGCAGCAGGAGTACACACACACAGAACTGACCGGCAGCAGGAACTGTGCCATTTGGAAAGGACTGTGAACCTGCCTAAAATTATGAACGTTGAAAGGGAAACAACTCTTCCTGCTACTCTGAGCCTGAGAAGCCCCACAACCCCATATGGTTTGCCTGTAAACCTCAGTGACGACACTGGGAATGAATTCCCCTTGGCCTTCCCTGCCTTCTCCTCCCACAGGGGCCACCCTTGTATCCCTCACTTTTCTGTTTACTTGATCCTGTTTTGAGCAGGAAATAAATATAAGGGCCTGTCAAAATTTGTAGTTTATGATAACCCACATCACACGCATTTAGTGGAACAAAAGAATGTTTAGCGACAGCCTATAACCTCCTAAGCTATTTGGAGAAGCTTATAATTCACAATAATACAACAGGTGGTTAAAACAATGGTGAAATGTCATCCACTGGGCACCTCCAGCAGCGGTGGAGAGACCACCTGCCCATCTCAATGCTGAGTAGCTGGGTCTCCTCACTTCTCTGCCATTGCTCAAACCAAAGCCTTTGAGGCACAGGCTCAGCTAGTGGGCCCCTACCAGATCCCAGCCCATCTGCTAACAGGGAAAACTTGTGCTTATAGAATGAGGTCAGCCACTTCCTGCCACTGTGCCAGGGTAGAAAATGCTCCCTCACCCCTCAAAGGCTGAGTGCCCACTGAGTCTTCAGGGCCTATCACTACCACCAGCTGCTTGTGACCTGCCAGATCCTGGCAGGACACAATGCTTCATGACAGTGCTGCACCCTATGGCACAGGCTGTGTACTTACCACACACTGTCACTTCCGCTCACCACCTGCTGCACAGACAGACTGAGTATCTGACTTGTCCCCAAGTCAGAATTCTGTTTTCCCAGGGCAAGACTGAGGATACCACACACAGCTCAAGGGCCACGGAAATTCCATGTCTCCAGACCAGCCCCTTGAGAGAGCACTGGGGATGCCCAGCCACAGTGATGAGATGGACCCCCCAAGCCCACACAGTGAGGATGGAGCCCAGAGACAGTTACCTTGTGGGCACAGAGTGTATCACTTCACCCCCATGTTCCACATTTCAGTTCCCCAGCTATCCAGGCAGGGTGCCAACTCCTTCACCTGTTCTTTGTCAGCTCACTACCCTTTCAGAGGAGGAGGAAAGCAGGCCCATACCTGGTCAGGCTATTTGGGTCTTGTGCCCCAACAAGGGGCAAAAGGCTGCCATGCCAAGACTAGAAGGATCACCCAGAGTCCTCCCAGGTCCCTCTGCTGTCCCCCAGTCTCTGCTGGGGCCCAGGCCTTGGCATGGTGTATGTGGGGCAGACACCACTGCAGCCTAGACATCTCCCACCTGCTCTTCACATCAGCCAAGCACTCCCACCCAGAGGCCTTGCCTGTGCTCACAGATGGACTGGCCTCCAAGTTCACAGCAAGCCAGCTGTCTAGGGAAGGAAGCACGTCCCCAGATCCCCGCGCCCTGTGTGCAGAGCAAAGCTCCCAAGTCTCCTAGGTGCTTTCTCATGCATGCTGGGCTGGCAACAGAGAGCCTTGAACGAAGTAAGGCACAAAGGAGGCCACCATCACGAACTGCCTGGCCTGAGTGCTCCATGGAAGGCTTGGGCTGCATCCCTTGTCAGCAGGTGGATGACAGCCCTGTCCCTCTGCCCAGCATAGTGATGTCAGTGGCCTAGTGGGGCTGAGCGCCTGAGAAGCCCAAGGACTTGCATATGCAAGGGCTGTGGCATGTACAGGGGCTGTGGGAAGTCCTCTTAGTACATCATTTACACTGCAAGTGGGACACCCAGAACCACTCAATGCCACCCAGCAAGGGCAGCATTCTAGTTGATAGAATGGAGTTCATGGCTCCCAGGGTGCCCTTGGAGCGTGTGCCTCTCACTGCCACCTTCAGCAAGGATGCTGAAGACTACCTCAGACTGTCTTTGTCAAGTAAGAAACAACAAAAGCGTTCATGCTAAATCAGTCCTGTCAGAATGGGTCCACCCCAGCCCGGCACAGCACAGCCACAGGATGAAGAGGACGGAAGCCAGAACAAAAGAGAGGGCAAGCTCGAGGGAAGGAAAGGAAGATACCCCAGTCCTTCCTGGCTGCTCTACTCTCATGGAGATGCATAGGTGAACAAGCCAGAGCCCCAGCATCAAGGGGCAGCCCCAGCCAGCAGGGAGAAAAGACTCAAAGCCAGAAAAGGGAGCATGGGAGCAAAAGCCACAGTTAAAGAATCAACACAAGATGTACACATGGGAAGTCAGAGGGTGAAGTCTTCCAGGGAGCTGGGTGGACAGAAGGAAGAGCCAGGACAGTGGGTGCCCAGGAGTACCAGGGAGAAGGCTGAGATGGCAGGACACGCAGGGCGGCGGGAATAGGGATCAGCAGTACAGTTGGAAATGTGGAGGGGCAGACAGCAAGGGACACACGGGGCATCAGGCAAATCTCAGTTTGAACACGGAATGGAACTGTAGCCTGGCCAGCCTGGGATGATGTGGCTGGCAGGCTGGAGCACAGTGTGAGTCAGGCAAGAGCCAGGAGGCAGGAAGCCCACTGGTGACCTAGTGGGACAGCCCAGGAGGGGCAAGAAGGACCATTAGGGATGAAGGTCAGAGAGAGGCTGACTTTCCAGACTGCGTCACTGGGAGTGGCTGGTTGCCCTAAACCAAGAAAAGACACACGAGAGAAGTCCTGCAGGTAGGGAGGGCACCAAAAGCCACCAGCATCCCCACTCCAGCGGTCATTCAAGCTGAACCTTGTGGCATGTTGGGATCCCACTCAGCAACCCAGTCTCACCTGCATCCAAATGTGGTCTGCAGCAAAGTGGTGATTCCCACGCAGAAGAAGATGGTCCCGATGAGTTGGCTGGTGGCCCACTGGTCAAACCCCACACACATGGCATCTGCCAGCAGAAAGGGCACTGCGATAGTGCCACTGAAGCAGGTCAGATAGTGCTGTGGGCAGAGGAGAGACGGGAGTGGAAAAGAGTGAAGCCTCCCATTTTCCTTGCCTATACCCTCTCCTTCTCCAAAGCTTCCTGTGGCATCCACAGGGTCCTTTCCTCTTCCTCTATCCTATTAACACATGCAGATACTCTTACATTCTGAAATAAACCCCAGTTACTCACACTGCATTTCTGATTTACTAATATTTTAAATCTACCACCATAGGACAATTACTCTGTGGTTGTTCTGTTTGTGTGTATGGTGTTTCCCATAATTTTCCATGGCGTTGTTTGGTAAACACAGGACTATGCACTGTGGTCAGGAGATGTTCAGGGGTAGAGCTTGGTAGGAATCATCCAGGAGAAGCTGCCATCAGCTCTCCCTTGGAGGCTCTGCCACCACTAGGGGCCTTGGCAGAGCATCCCTCTCTTGGCTGGGTGTCTGCTGTTCCAAAAACACCCTGCATTTCATCCACGCCTGCGTACACAGGCTGCCGGCAGCCCAGAGCACACAGGCACAGGCACTTCTGGGCACAGTCGTGGCTGCTCGGCACGCACAAGTTTGTGTGTGCTTCTGTGTGTGCTAAGAGGAAGGGAACGCAGATGAGGCTTTCACTGTGATTCGACTACAGGAGACTTCCACAACCACCTACAGTAGAAAGCCTTCAAAAAGTACTTTTCTTGCATCTATCTGGAGCCTGCCGGCCAGGGTGAGTTGTTTGCCAAGAGCACACAGCTCCTCTGGCCCTGACTCCTTCATGAGACACGCTTGGTGCAGGCGGCCTGAGCTCTGCAAATCTCGCCACAGTGACGGCAGGCAGCAGGGCCCTGACGCCATCTTCACTGCTTCTCAGAAAGCTCAGGTGAACCCACAACACTAGCTCAAGGAAGTAAGAGTGGAAAGCCAAGCTGTGGAAGGCACCCAAGCCGAAACAGCAAGGACAGTGAGGAGGGGGCGCAGGGGAGAGACCACCCCCCAACACATTCACATCTCAAAAAAATAAAACTAGAAATCCAACCCAGCTATTCCCCTTCTAGGAGTCTTCCGAAAAGAGTTACAGACATCCCACTATAGCGGTGCATGCAGTATGTGCACAGGAGCAGTTCAGGAGATCGGGACCTTGTGAGCAGCCTCAGAGCCTGCCCAGGACAGATGTGCAGCTCAAGAGTGGCCCTGACAAGGGACCATTCCTGTGCCACTGCGGAGGGGCAACTCGAGTCTCATATGAGAAACCCAAATATAAGTAAGGAACCAAATAAAATAGCAAAAGTTTCCTACAGAATTCTTGGTTTATAAATCTAAATTTTTTTTTTTTTTTTTTAATTTGGAACAGGATCTCACTATGCAGCTTGGACTTGTAGTGATCCTCCTGACTCGGCCTCCTTAGCACCAGGTTACAGGCATGTGCCACTATGCCCAGTTTCGGGGCCGGCACAGCTTGCAGTACCAGGGATCAAACCAGGGTCCTTGCACTTTCCAGGCAGGTGCTTAGACCGCTGAGCTATCTCCCCAGCCTCAGCACTCATTTTATTTCTGCATTTTCTGACATTTACAGTATTTGACAGCTTTTTAAAAGACGTAAGCTTTAGACTTTTCAAACCAGGGTCTCTCAGTTCATGGTTATATCACTTTATATTTTTGCCACCTAAAAAACCTTTGGGTGTGAAGAGGGAAGGGGAAAGGAGAAAGGAAAACCAAACAAGTCACCTTACTCATTCCCATTCTCCAAAAGAGCCGCTTATAACCCTACAAGGGAAAGGGTGCTGACAGCCCGGAGGCCCGGAGGGGACATCCTAAGGGCGGGCGCAAGAGGTGTCTGCTGGCTCATGCCTCACCCACCAGCCCCAGCTCATCCGCACCCCCTTCCACCAGAACCTGCAGTAGGTGGTAGAGGGGCTGCTCCACGGCCAGGTTCCCTCCCTCTGCATCCCCTCTACTGGGGCACTTTCCAGGGTCACCCACCTTTCATGGCAGACCTTGCCATGGGGGTGGCCTTGTTGACTAGGTCAGGATGGGAGGTGAAAAGTAATTCCTTTTCACTCTTCTGTGTCCCTCCTTCTATACTCCTGCTCTATTCTTACTATAGTCTTCATTTTATTTCATTTCTCTTGCTTGTCCTCTGAACATTTTTCATCTTTATTTTCCCAGTTTTCTGCCTTCTATTATGAAATTGGTGTTAAAAATTCTCACACGGGAAGAGATTTATTTATGCGTGTATGCAGAATGGCTCAGATAATTGTACTGATAATTTCTGCTGGTTTACAGAGGGCAGCAAGTGATGCTTTAATTTTTTTTTCTTGTCCTTTTTAATTTCTTATAACTTCTTAAAACCAATTTTGCATACTTACATCTGATAATCTAAACAACTAATTTGAAGATAATGTTATGCAATACATTAACCACTGTTGAACTCCTATTGTTTTGTTTGGTGAAGTTCTGTATCATTTCTAATGTTTCGGGTTTTTTTGTTTGTTTTTTCACTATTTTGTATTCTCTTTAGATGGTAAGAAATAACAGAATTGACTTCCTAAAGTTGTGAAACTTAAGTAAAATAATGTATGTATGGTTCTTAGTGCATGTTAATACTCCAAAAATAAAATTCTCACTCATTGCTCTTTGTTGGTTAAGGTTTGTTTGGGTTTTTTTGTGTGTGTGTGAATTTAGGACAGGGTGTACAGGGTGTATAGGGTCTCACTATTCAGATCAGACTCGTAGAGATTCTCCTGTTTTCAGCCTTCCAAGCGCTGGGATTATAAGCACGTGCCACCACGCCCAGTCCCAATCACTGTCTCAGTGCACCCTGGGGGCAGGACTGGCACAGCATGCCGGGGACCAAACCCTGGCCACTGTGCTCTGCTGAAGCAGGTGCTTTAGTCCGCTAAGCTATCTGGCCAGCCCTTGGTTAGCGTTTTTTTTTGACAGGATCTCACTATATAGCTCTGGCTGACTTATAGCAGTCCTCCTGCTTCAGCCTCCAGTGCTTATTGCACTGAGCCATCTCCCCGGCCCCCCACTCATTATTCCTAAGAGCATAATTTTATTTAAAAATTTAATAAATAAAAAATAAACGTGAATTTTCTAAAACTCCAAATGGTAGACATTTAAGCTTCTGCCAGTGGTGACACACTTTACAGTAAGCAACTGTTATGGTTTGTATCTAGTTGTGCCTCCAAAGCCTCATGTAGTCACTGGGGCAGCTTCTAGAGTTTATGGTTAATTCATGATCCAATGCTAAGATTATGGTATGAGTGCTATTCCTGCCCAAAGGTGGGTAATCTGCATTACAATGTAAGAGGCCAGGTAGATGCCCTCCCTTTGCTCTTTGCTGCTTTCTGCTGCCATGAACTGCTGCCCTCTGCCATGTGCCACTCTGTCTTGGAACCAGCTGACCAAAACCTCCACTGTCAGCTAAATAAACCTTTCCTTCCTTAATGTGGGTGTCGGGTATTTTGTCCCAGCAACGAGAAAAGTAACTGAGACAACATCTTACCTGCAGCCCCAGAAATATGCACAGGTACCAGGGAGGAACATCTTCTATGGTATAGATCATGTCTGACCGCTGGGGGTCCAGACTGCCAGTGCTGTCCAGGGTCTCCGCGAGAGAGCTCTGTGAGCAAGGAGGAACAAGGAGGGATTTAGTGAATGCCAGAAAACCATCAGCTGAGCACAGCCCACTGCTGATGACAAGCAGTTTCCGCTTGCTGCTTGGAAATTGCGATCCTTAACCTCCTCTGAGGCAAAGTTAAAGTATACTTGTTCAAAACGACAAGCAATTCTCAGAATTCAGGGGTCCCATGTCCTTTGGCATTAACGCATACCTAAGAGCACCCAGCTTGCTCAAAGATGCTCCCCAAAATTGCAGACCCTTCTGCGTAAACAGAGACTATGGAGACCATTGGACCTGAATGAAGATATGTTGTAAAATGCCTAGTCACTTTTAAACTGATTATCCCTCTGGCCCAAACTAAACTCTGTCCAAAAGGGATCTTTTTACCTAAAATTTAAACCTATGTCTTCCTGCCAAAACAGTTACTCAAAGATGCTGAATGAAAAGACCAAAATTTTCCAAGTCTATCCAGGATAACTCAAAGACCTAAAAATGTATTTAGAGTTTGGACAACAAATTTTCTTCTCCCCTAGCCCCCATTAATTAAGAACTTTGAAAGAAATTAAGAGTTAAAAAAAAAAGAAAGAAAAAAGAAATTCAGTATATTCTTGAAGCCCCAGTCACCACAAAGTCCTAGTCATAGCCCAGATGTTTCTAGGCAGCCTGGGCTTCACTTCCAAGCTTACCCAGCATCAGGCCAAAGAGCAGACTCAAAGCAACCTGGTCTAGCCCTGAAGTCTTCAAACTGCAGCTCCAAGAGGAAGGTAACTGCAGCCTGCGAGCCAAATCCCTTAACTACAAGAAGTGATGCACCTCTGTGGAAAGGTAAATGTCTGAAGTAAGCTGACATTTGATCTAATCTAACTATCTAAATGTGCCCTTTTGGGAAGAATATTTTCTTCTGGCAGATTTGCACTTCGTTGAGCAGGTTCAATTGGACTGTGTGTGTCTTTTGAAAGAGGAGAGAGAGA